TCTCGTGAAAGTTTTTGGCTAGAAAATGACCAACTTCGGGACCAGGAAAGCTGGGGGCTGAAATTTTTAGGGAATTTTCCCTGTCCAAGTAGAGCGTAGATAATTAACTTCCCAAAGTTTCAGGACTAGTATGTCACACGTTTTTAGCTACTGGGTTTCCAGCGATCTCAATACAGCACAAAACACTGCAAAAACGCATGATCGCATGGGCTCGCCCGGTGCGCGTCGCCAATGATTTCCTACTAGAGCGAAGTGTCAGTCACAGCCATTGCGCAAAATTCAAATTCTTACAGAAGGAAGGTTGGACACTGAGAATCATCCAGGCGAAATCGTTCCGTGACGTCATCGTTCACTGACATATCCACTTTACCAACGTTGACCAGGCCACGCAACCTAAAAATTTCACCGCTTTTATGAGAAAATGTGTTACAGTAAAATATCAAGTCATAGGGAATAAAGCTTACCTATGTGCCACTGTCTCCCAGGATGAGACAAACGCATTGCAGTCCGGCTCTTCCGAAGTATAGCTGCAAACCAAAGTCATTTTATATTTCATGGAATACTGATACTAAAATTATTATTGAAATACGCGAAAGTATCGGTCAGAACTGAAGCATCTATTCCAGTACAGCTAGTCCAGTACCGGAGCAAATTAACTGAACACTGCGAAGAATGCTAAAATGATACGAGCTCGACACAGACGAACAAAGGAATGCGGATGGGACCGGAGTGGTGTTTGCGAATGATCTGTCAATTTCACTTATCGCCAGTACTTCTTTTGAGTCTCGATTTTAAGAAAACTCCCAAAATTACCCAAGTTTCTGGTCCCATCATGACCAGCGACAATGGTGAGGTTGAAAAGTTCAACGCTGCACTCAAATCCATCGTGAACTTCAAGTTTCTATATATATTAGCAAGACTTCTCGTTAAAACAGTCGAGAGCAAGCCTAGGCAACTGCAGCACAACGAATCAAAATTTTTCATTAGAGCAGCTGTATATCGTGGAACAGAGTGCCAATTCCTTCTCGCCTGTCCACTAATTACACACCCAGGCTGCAACGCATTACACTTCCCGGTACGATCATGCGTTTTTGTGCTAAACTTGCACATCATTTGCAGCAATAATGGCTTCTGTGTTGTAGTTTAGTACGTAGGCTCGTATTGACTGTGTTTTGGCCTTTTCCCGCATGCAGGGGAAAGGGTATCAGCTGGGAAGAAAAAGGTGTCGGCCCCCTGCAAGGAATTTCACTTCCAAGCAGAATTAAGACCTCATTTGAAAGTAGAATTTCCTAGCGAAATTTCAGCCTCGCACATTATCCGGCACGTGAAATAGCCACTTCGCTACAAATATCTTTGAAGTGGCCTAAGTCGCAGTGCAAGTACAAATC